CAAAAAAATAATTGAATTGTATGTATTTTGTTATACTGATTTTAGTTGGCATGTAATTAAAGATTTGAGCCGGATATGCTCTGATTGATTTTGTAAAACTATATGATTGTATTTAATGTAAACTGGTTTAGTTTTATTTTAATGTAAATGTGAATTTTCAGTTATCTTGTAAAAGTAAACTATTTGGAAAGTCAATGTGACACATCGGACTCATATCCGGGTCGGATATGGGTTGGGGTGTTACAGCTATCCACGAATTGTTTTGGGGGGTTTTGAGATGACGACAACGAAGAAGCTAACTATGATTGCGATGAGGCGAACGGAAGTCTGAGCGACTAGAATCGTCCAAAATCCGAGGCGTCAGGGTGAGTTTTATATCCCGAAATTGGAACATCATAAGCCAGAGCTTGCACTACCTCTCCTCCGATCCATTTTCAACTGCAATGCATTTAAATCAAATAACATAAATCAATGAAATGTTAGTGAAATCCATATTCATATGCATGAACTAACTTTGCAACTTATGGGTAAGTTTAAAACAAAACCATGTTAAAATATCAACCAAACATAGCATATCATGTCTTAAATTAAAACTTACGACCCATCTGGATTAACCTCAACACTTCCAAAGAATCCACCATGATCAAATCCCAATACAATTCGTGGATAGCCATCGTCATTCGTCGGAATAGAGCCCTTGAAGTTTCACCAAAAATCTATCCCGACGACTCGAATTCTGGACGGTTCCAATCGCGTCGGACCACCATATTTAACTTCCTCGTCGACGTCCGCTCAAATCTCAACCGGTGGTCACGTTGTAGTCTCCATTCTTGTCGTCCGCTGCCGTGGGTAAACTTCGGTGTTAGTTTTGGCCTTTATGTAATTTAAAAGAAATAAGGGTTTTTTATAAATATAATAATATTTTTAATATTTATTTTTAAAAATAAATTTTTAAAATTACCAGATTGTGGCACATGTCACTTAACGGAAAAAACTAACGGTCTGTCACGGCGTGACCCACTTTGAGTAACAGAATGAAACGTTAGGCACCAAACTAGAACGAAAAAATGTTAGGCACTAAATTAAAAAACAAGCATACATTGGGCACCTTTTGTATATTTAAGCCTAATAACTCGAACCTGAAACATTTTTTAAGCGATATCAAATTATTTACCACTTGATCTGATTTATTTTCGAACCCTTTCACCAAAAAGATTAGCTTTAATTTTTCAGAAACAAAAAAAAAGTAGTGATTTATTCTAAATAAAGAAAACACCTAGTTAATTATGTTAATTTTTACCATACCTAGTAAAGTCATTTACAATTGATGATGTTTTTGTGAATTTTGTTTCTATATTATTTACTTTTGAAAAGTTTATTATTAAGTGATTGTTGGGTGAAAAAAATAAGCGTAAATTACAAATTTCATCATTAAACTTTACCTCTCTCCTATTTTACTCACTAAACTTTAAAAATTTTTAATTTCATCACCGAACTTAATATATTGGGTTTTTTGGTCACTGAACTTTATTCTCTCCTATTTTGGTCACTCCGCCGTTAAATAGTTAACAACACTAAAAACGACACCGTTTTCAAAAAACAAAATTTTCACCAAAACGACGTCGTTTTGCATCTGTATAACAACCCATTTTAACATCATTAACTATTTAATGATCGAGTGACAAAAAAATCCAATGTATTAAGTTCAATGAGAAATTAAAAATATTTAAAGTACAATGAGTGCAATAGGAGAGAGAGTAAAGTTCAATTATCAAATTTGTAATTTACCCAAATATAATTATTAATTATAGATAATTTTATATTAAATTATAAAAAAAAATTGTTTAGTGTCAAAATAAAATTAAAATAAGTTTATATATGAAAATGAATAGAATAAAAATATGAGGTGTCAAATAAAAAATTGTCCTTTTGATTAGTTTTTTTTCTCTTTTTGATTAATATAGTACGTGTTCTAAAAACTCTCAACTATTTAATAAAAAACACCTAAATACGCTATAGTCTTTGCTGCTCAAATATAAGATCTGTAGAAATAATAATGATTCATTTAATCACTAAAATATCTTATAATTTCTATATTCGAATCCGAAATTTTTATAAATAATAATAATTTTTTTAACCACTAAAATATCTTAATTATGTATTTTAGTTAGTCATTCTCCGTCCTTTATAACAAAATATATTTATTAACCAACATGCCAAGTGGGTAATATTTTACAAAAATCATGGTGTCAAACAATTTTATTAAACCAATAGCCATGAAGCAAGTCAACGGGCAACAGCGAAGTTGCAACGTATAGATACGCCAAAGAAAATAAACGAGGGCAAATTACAAATAGCATACTTGAACTTTTATAACATTCCGACTTATTGTCACTAAACTTTAAAAATAATAATTAAATCACTAAAATTTCAAATTACTCTATTTTTAGTCATCTCACTATTAAATAATTAATGGTGTTATGCTTAGGCATCTGTTTTTTCAAATTATAAAAAGGCCTTAAATCTTTCTTCATTTTTGTTAAAATAACCTTACAGTCCCTTTAATTTTCCAATGATGGATTATATTCTTCCAAATTCCAAGAGGTAGAAAAAGAGTAGAAGAGTTATATATCCTAATTTTACATTGATTGTATAAAGGAGATTGTAGATCAGAATTATTTTTCTTTGAATTTTGATTGGATTTTAAAAGTTTTAAAGATAATTTTAGAAAAATTTAAACTAATAGAATAATAAAAAAATGATAAAATAAATTTATCGATATCTAATACTGAAAGAAGACTTTAAAAATAATAATTTAAAGATCAACATCACACATGAACGAAACTTTAAGATTTTCATCTTTATTGAAAAGAAAAAACGTAGCTAACAAGTGGTTTCTAGTATGATTATCAAGTGAGTCGATCACGAGTTGGACAATGCTCGACTTGTGCTCCTTACAAATTGATTTGTGCTTGATTCGACTCAATTTGTTAAGGTTTCGAGTCAAGTTAACCCGAATTGAACTTGTTATCAAATTTTGACCGAGTCGAGTTCAAACTGATCACGAGATGCTCAACTCATTAAGCACCCCTAGTTTCTATATCAACTAAATGAAGTCCACAATAGCATAAAACCGTTCAAGATTGATTTGCAGAAAGCTTTCGATTCTATTAGCTGGAGGTTCTTGTTGAATGTTCTTAGAGCTATGGGGTTTCTTGCAAGGTTTTGTGGATGGATTGAGACTTGTGTGACTACCCCTAGGTACTCAATTGCTCTGAATGGCAGTCTTGTGGGGTATTTTAGGGGTGCTAGAGGTGTTAGGCAGGGGACCCATTGTCCCCTTACCTTTTTGTAATTGTTATGAATGTTCTCTCTAGATTGCTTGATGTTGCGGCTAGGAATGGTATTTTCAGATTCCATCCAAAATGTAAGAGAATCTCCCTCACACATCTCTGCTTTGCTGATGATCTGCTACTTTTTTTCATGGGTCTATGGATTCAGTATTAGGATTTAAAAGCATCTTAGAGAAATTCTATCATCTGTCTGGGCTCAAGTTAAATTCCCTGAAAATCAAACTCTTTGTCTATGGGATTAATAGAGGTGATTTAGAGCAGATTCAAGTAGTCACAGGGTTTAGATCTTGTAATCTTCTATCAGGTATTTGGGAGTTCCTCTAGTGACTCGTAAGCTATCAAGGAAGGACTGCACTGCTTTGCTGGAGAAAATTAAGGATAAATTGAGGATGTGGTCAAGCAGGAAATTGAGCTTTGGGGGGAGACTCCAACTTATTAAAGTTGTTCTTTTTAGTATCTTTAATTACTAGAGTAGCAGTTGGTTCTGCCTAAGGGTGTGATTCAGGACATTGAGAGGTTGTGCATGAGGTACTTTTGGAAGGGTAATGACTCCCCTGCTCGAGGTGCAAGGGTCAGTTGGTGCCAGATTTGTTCTATCAAATCTGAAGGTGGCTTGGGGCTAAAAAGTTTGATTGGCTAGAATAAAACCTGTTGTTTCATGCTTGTTAGAAATATTTTGGCTGGTGAGGGATCATTATGGGTTACCTGGATTAAGGCGTATTGCTTTAAACTTGATGATTATTGGAATGTTGAGAACAAATCCCACTTTAGCTGGATACTCAAAAGTTGATCAATCTGCGAGGGGAAGCCAAAGATTTATTTTCTGCTTCAGGTAATTGGTCACAAATTAGGGGGAGCTGGATTTGGAACACATTCAAGACAGGAAGAGTAAAGTTGCTTGGCATAAAGTTGTTTGGTTCCCTGCTCACATCCCTAAGTTTTCTTTGATTGCGTGGATGGTCATCCTTGATAGGTTACCTACCAAGGATAGACTTTGTAGGTTTGCTATGGTGACTGTTCTAGTTGTGGACTGTGTGGCGCTGATCTGGAATCGAGGAATCATCTATTCATGGTTTGCCTTTTTCTAGGGGGCTTGGAATGCTATACTAGTTTTGTGGGCTGTAAATTCAGTGGCCTAGTTGGGATCATATGTTTGACTAGCTGGTCAGGAATCTGAAAGGCAAATCTGTTAGTGCACATCCTTAAACTTTCATGGACTGGTTTTGTTTACTTCATTTGGGAGGAGCGCAATCGCAATGTTTTAGAGGTGTGATGAGTTCAATAGATTCTATTGTACATACCATTCAAGAGGCTGTTAGAATCAAGTTACATAGACATTACATGAATAGGCTAGATATTTTAATAGTCAATTATGTATTGATTGGGGTCTATTCTAGATGTTCTTCTGTACTTTGTAGCAGCTTGCTGCTTTCTTTGGATGATAACAAATTTGATTATCCAAAAAAATAAAAGGGAGTAATATAAAAGTTAATGATTAAATTAAAAAAACTACAATTTAGTAACCGAAAACAGGAATACATAAAAAGTTGAGCGGTGAGATTTATAATTTTACTAATAAACGAATACTGTCGAAACATTACACTTGTGCATATATATAGCTCTGTCATCGAGCAGAGAACAGGCAAGCCAGCTCCCAATTATCTTAAAGCTGCTAAGCCAGGCTTAGTCTTTTGATACTCTCCGGTGATCACCATGCCGAAAATCGCCTTGGGAACTACCCGAGAGGCTGCTCAGCCTGACTGCATAAGAGCGCTTGCTATCGAGTTTATCACCACTTTCTTCTTCGTCTTCGCCGGAGTCGGAGCAGCAATGACAGCCGGTAATCAAGCATTCATCCGCTTAAATTTCAACGCTATCATGAATCGACATCCTTTTTATGTTTTTAAAACGTTTTGTGATAATTAACAGATGAGTTGGGAGGAAATACACTGGTGGGGTTGTTCGCGGTGGCGGTGGCTCATGCTCTTGTGGTCGGCGTTATGATATCGGCCGGACACATATCCGGCGGCCATCTCAACCCAGCCGTCACGATCGGGTTGCTATTCGGCGGCCACATCACGGTGTTCCGAGCTATCCTTTACTGGATCGATCAGCTGTTGGCATCTTCAGCTGCTTGTATACTTCTCAAGTATCTCACCGGAGGACTGGTAACGTCGATTTAATTTGATATTCCAGTTATTTCATTGTTTAACTCATTTGCATATCGTGCAGAACACTCCGGTTCATACGTTGGCAAGTGGAATGGGGTTCCTTCAAGGCATAATATGGGAGATTATCCTGACATTCGCCTTGTTATTCACAGTGTACGCCACAATGGTGGACCCAAAGAAAGGATCCATCGATGGACTTGGTCCGATGCTCACCGGGTTCGTTGTTGGTGCCAACATCTTAGCCGGTGGAGCTTTCTCTGGTGCCTCGATGAACCCGGCTCGGTCATTCGGACCGGCTTTGGTTAGCTGGAACTGGACCGATCACTGGGTTTACTGGGTGGGACCTCTGATCGGGGGCGGCCTTGCCGGCTACATCTATGAGAATTTCTTCATTCTCAGGACTCATGGTCCGCTTCCCCATGAAGATGGGTTTTAAGTGTTTACTATATTACATAACATTATGGTCTCTTTGTTTTGTCTCTCAACGTATTTTAAGTTTTTAGTGTGTCTGGTTCCTCTATATCTTTGTTTGATAATCTATTTTACGAATTAACGAATAATATTTTTATATATTTTAATTCATTTATTAAAGTTTAGATTGCATAATTGGATGCATAAATAAACAAATATGTATATATATTTATTTCTCATTAAGATTGGATCTGTAAATGGCCAACATTATATCATCTTTTACTCTTTAGTAGCTGGCCATGTGGAATCATTCACACCACATGCCTATCTAAACATCGTCTTAAAACTACTGGAAATGATTACCTTGAAGCTTCTTCTCGACCCAATTAGGAGACAAGACAGGGTTCATCTCGTACTCCATTGTCGATTTCGTTTTGGAATCATTTCTCTCTGCAAAATCGAAACACACTTTCTCTTCGGGCATAATTTTAACTCTCCACACTTTAAATGTCTGGTCCAAACTGGCACTGTAAACCAGAAACCCCATCACGATTTTCTCCATCTCCAAACAAGCCGCCAAGCATCGAACCGGTCCTCTATGGCCGTCCAACACCGCCAGACATTCATGGAAACAGCTCCCCTCCTCTCTTCTCCAAACCCTAATCGTCGTGTCCTCGGAGCCGCTGAAGACCAACCTCTCGACAGCCGCCAAACATAGAACTGCAAAACGATGTCCTTGTAAGAAACCGCCATGGTTAAACCTACCCGACATTTTTTCCTTCTCCCAGAAGTTGATGGTCCCGTCGGATGAGCCCGAGTAGAGGAAACAGTTGTTGAATGTCGTACTTAAGGCCAAGGCATTGACCGGGGATTGTTGGAATTTTAGTGTCATAGTTAATGTGTGGGAGTTTTCTCTATGTACTCTTCTCCATATCTTCACTGATCCATCGGTGGAACAAGTGAAAACACAGCCATCGTCTTGGTTTACGACGACGGCCTTAACGTTGCTTTCGTGTGCCACGAATGAGTCGACGCATTTCTTGTCCAAAAGCCGCCATGCTTTTACTGTTTTGTCGTACGATCCGGTGTACAAAAGCCCCTCGGCGTGGTAATAAGCCATGCAGGAAATGCAATCTTTATGTTGTTGGCTGCTTGTTTTTGGGAACTTTAGAAACGAGGTTTTTTTAGGGAGTGTCGCGATCTTCTTGTAGCTGAAATTATCCGAAACCGTGTAGTTCCATATCCGGACCTTACTGTCTTTATGTGTGGTGAAAAGCATGTTACCGTATGCGAAAATGGCCCGGACTTCGCCGGAACTCGCCTTGATATAACCCCGCTCGGTGCAGTCGGGTTGCCTCCACGCCCTAATACGGTTGCTATCGGATCCGGTGAAAGCTAACCCTTTCGAGAGCTCTATCGAGTAGATGTTCCCCTCTTGGCGAGTGAAGGGAAGCGATGCAATGGTATAGAAGAGCCGGGGACGGTGTTTGAAGAGGGGTGAGCGTCCACGGCGATTCGGGACTACCGGGCGGGAACATCGAGTGTATGGCGGCGGCACTCGCTCGGGGGCTCGAAGCTCGTCCGGGGCTGAATTGGAGATCTTGATCGTGCATGTCTGCATAACGAGTTCTAATGGAAAGACGAGGAGGTGATTGGGATGGATTGCTTTCTTCATCCATGAAACCATGGAGGATATTTCTCCCATAGAATTCCATGGCAAATATGATATTGCGAGATCAGAGTGAAAACACGTGAGAGTTGGCTACAGATATATGGGATACGCATTGATGGTGTAGTTATATGAACTTAATTTGGTGCGTTGGGTTTATTTTTGATGACCCAATGGCACCATTAAAGAAGACGTGCTAATACATGACGACAGCCATCATATATATATATAGAAATACGTTCATTGAGTTTAAGTAGGAATCAGTTTAATATTATTTAAGTAAATTTTGAATTTAAGTACTTGTGTATGTAGAAAATCTCACTTAGATATTTGTCCATCAAAATCAAATGTACGGTCCGAATTAGTCAAGGTGAAATGAAGCTAGGATTTTGTTACTACAAGGACCTATACAGTATTTTTACCAATATATATCCATTGTGTTGGTAAAATCCGAAAGTCGTTCCAATCATTTGAAGGTAAGATCCTCTGTAGAAATTCCAGCTCATGGGTCATTCATTCAAGTACACTGTATTTATACGAGTACAATGGGTGGTTCCTATCATTTACCATTGTTCAAATATTAGGTAACCATCCTAACTACTGGCATTAACTGTTTTAGTAACTAGGCTGCCCACAACAAGAAACATGAGTCCCCAATTGTTTCATTGTAGAACTAACACTGCCATGCACAAAACCAGAAATGAATCATGTTTGGCTTAATTATAAAATAAGAGCCCAAACTATAATATTTTTCTCAAAAAGGTGTCCAAACTTTCTGAATCATTTATGTGCCTAACGTTACAAATGTTACCACTTTAGGTGTCCGGGCCGTAACTGATATTAAATTATGTCGTTAAAGGACGCGTATCACGTATTGGTAATTTTAAAATTTTTATTTAAAATCAAAAAATAAATTTATATTAAAAAACACAAAATTAAATACTTTAAAAAAACTCCAAAACTTTAAAAACTCTCATTTCAACTCTTAAACCCACACCTCCCTCCGTCCTTTTCCGGTGATGAAGCTCCACCCGACTATCGATAACCCTATGAAATTGCGACCAATCGACGGCTAATCAATGACCAATCGATGTGTGTATCCCGACGAACCCTACACAGCAAATAGCGACCCCACATGATCTCGACAATCAATCGACAACAAGTATGGCGACGTATGACTAGGAAGATGGCAAAAATGACGTCGTCGGGTTAGGGTTAAGGATTTAGGTTTTTAGGGATTTGTTTTTTTGGTAATTTAAGAGAAATAAGGTTTTTTATAAATATAATATATTTTTAAAAAAATTTAAAATTATAAAAACGTGACATGTGTCACTTAACGGAGAAATTTAACGACAATTACAGTCCAAGCACCTAATGTGGTAATGTTTGTAACGTTAGACACTTGGATGATTCAAAAAAAGTTTGGGCACCTATGTAGAAAATGCATTATAGTTTGGACACTTATTTTATCATGTTTTTAATTAATAAAACATGATTTTAAGATAATTACTTATAAATTTGTAAAACCAATAAAAAATAAAAAAAATGAGACGAATAATTGTAGACACTCATTTTCATCCAAGTTTGAGCTTTTTATTTATTTATTTTTATTATAGTAATATAGTATAATTTTTGAAAATGTTTTTGAAAAATATAATATAAAGTTTTCAAAAAAATATTTTTTGAAATATATATTATATAGTTTTTTAAAACGTTTTTTTTAAATTATGTACAATATATAAGTTTTAAAACATTTTGAAAATTATATAGTATATAGTTTTGAAATCATTTTGAAAATATAATATATAGTTTTTAAAAAAATATTTTTTGAAAATTTATATAATATATAGTTTAAAAACATTTTGGAAAACTTATATAATATTTTTAAAATCATTTTTGAAAATTATATAATATATAGTTTTGAAAACATTTTTAAATATAATATATAGTTTAAAAAATATATATTTTTGAAACATATATTATATAATCTATATTATTATTAATATTTATTTTATTTTATTAATCTAATCTAATTTAATTTAATTTATTGTTATTTTTGTCAGGGTCCAAACGGGTCCAAATCCAATCCATATTTCAGTCCAGATTGGGCCTGAATCAGCCCATCAGAGGTTAGGGTTGCAATCGTGTAGGGTTTCATTCAACCCTCAATAGAGCCGCAAAATCAGGAGATCAAGGGTCACGCGAAACGGCCGGACGTCGGCCGAGGATCCAGGGACTGAACCATCCCGGGATTTCAGCAGTAACGTTCATGACCTCACAACCATCGGAACTGACCATCACCGGTGGGGGTATAAATACCCCACCACAGATCGACTGAAAAGAACGGAACTCACGAGAGAGCCAACCAACCACTAGAACAGTACCCATTACGAACAAAAACAAACAATACCAAACAGTAAACCAGAACCTCACCAACAAGAGCAAATCGAAACACGACCAACCAAAACCCAAAAACAGTCGAGATACACAACATCAACGACAAGCCAACGTCAACAGAGAGCCAAAAACGAACATCCAACCATCCTAAAAATAAAACGGTGAGACCAAAGCCCCACAACAAAAACACAAAGGAAATACGCAAGGAAAACCGAAAGCCGAGGTCTCAACCGAGAAGGCAAAAGGTCGTCGGCGAAAAAGGTACAAACAGAAGCTTTCGGGCTAGATTGGCGGGGATTTTGGGGATTTAGGCATCGGGATAGCGTTTTTGGGGTAGAGAGGAGTGTTTTGAGTGATTGGGGTGTTATCGGCCGCCGCGGCGGTCGGCGGGTGGCCAGTTCCCCGCCGGTGGGAATCTCTAGAGAGAGGCAAGAGAGATTTCATCTTTAGAGGGAGAGGGAAGATGACAAAATGAAGAAGGCTTGGCCATTTTGGCCTTTGAAATGTGCATATATAGGGGGAACGAAGCTACACCGTTTTAAGCTCCCATACCCGTGATTTCCAGCTGTAAAGGGTCAATTTCCATTTTGGTCCCTTGGGTTTTGTAAGCATTTGATCGAAATTATTAATTTGGTTCTAATTCCGTTTTTTCCTTAAATTTGTCCCTCGTTTTATTTTATTTTATTTTTCTCACGGTTTTAATTTAATTTAATTTTTCTTTTTTTTTACCTTTTTTATTCTCATTTATTTATTTGTTTACTAACCTTTTATTATTTTTTTATTTTATTTTATTATTTCCCATCATCTTTATTTTTTTTACTAGCTTTTGTTCATCTTTGTCAACTATTTTGTATTATTATTATATTAAAATGGGTGTATATGTATATATATATATATATTCTTTTTATTCCTTTTTGTATTTATTTTTATTTTACTATCTGATATTTTTGGGCATTTACAGTGGTAATTTCAAATGATCAAAGGTAAGTAATTTGAATCGAGTATTTAAATTTAAATTTAAATTTTTAATTTTTCGTAATTAAAGGCAACCGTCAAATTAATTGGTACCGAAAGAGTAGTTCAAGGGTGCTAATCCTTCCTTGACCGTAACCGACTCCCGAACCCGACACGTTTTTGGTACAACGCAGATCAGGTAAGATGGTGTCCGACCCACCTAAATTCGTTTTAAAATGATCGATAGCGACTCTAATCCAATCAAATCAAGTCGAAGCCCAATTCTGGAACCCAACCGAAAGACGGTTCCTACAATAATGTTATAGGCTTTAGCCTTCTTTTTCCCAGAGGTATCATGAAACCCAAAATCTTTGTTTGCTTTTTGGGTAAATCAAGTGGGAAATTTTAATATACCGTTAAGGAAAAACATTATTGGTTTTGTTATTATTTTTTTAACAAAATTGGTAAAAAAAATTATCAGAAATATTATTATTTTTATCTAAAATATTAATATTTTTAACATTTCCGGTAAAGTGTCAAATAATAATAAAACCGATAGAAAAAATAACAAAACCAATAGCGCTTAATCGGATATGTTAACAAAACCAATAAAATGTCCAATAATAATAAAATCGATAGAAATAATAATGTTTCCGGTAATCATTATTAAAGTTTCCCGGAGACATCACGAAACCTAAATCATGGTTAGCTTTTTGTGTAAATTTTGGAAACTGATAATTTAAATGTCACTTTGTTTTTTTAAAAAAAGATATGGATTGTTACACGAACCAAGTGATCAAGGTGGTAAATGATTTGTTTTTATTCTTTGAAGACCTGAGTTTGAAAAGATAAAATGTCTATTATAGACATTATATTCTAAATTAAAAATATATCATTTAAATTATATTTACACTTATATATCAATTATATCAATTTAAACTATAATAAATTAAAAAATTATTATTATATATAAATTATATGACTATAATAAAAATATAAAAAATATAAATAAAAACTCAATTATAATAAAAATATATTTTATAATAACTCACTATTAATATTTTAATATATAAACCATGAATTTATTTACTTTTAAGTAATTGAAAAAAATTATTACGTAATAAATTATTTTTTAAGGATGTTAGTATTAAATTATTAAAATAAAATATAAATATATAATTGAGTAGAACCCATACATTAGTAAGGATAAAATTATAATTTGCTTCAAAATGCAAAGTTGAAAATGAAAAAAAACTATAAATCTTAGCTTTTATGATTGGTTTGAAACCACCGTTTTACCGTAATTTTTTTACTTTTTACCCGTTTAACATTAATTTTACAGTGAAAACAGATTTTTGAAATTAAAAATAATTTTAGAAGTTACGCGAAACAGGAGCTTAACTATATATTCTAAATTTTTTTCTCAAACCTTAGCGGTTAAAGTAGTTTCCCTAAAAAGCCTAGCTGGAGATTCTTTGTTTCCAAATTTTATTGGTAAAGCCAAAATTTCAGTAAAACGGAAGCTGCGTTGAAACCTTTGCTCTCTTCATTTCACTGTTTGGCTGCTCAGGCGAGAAAATAGTTCATCAAAGCAAAAGCAAAAGCAAAAGCAGAACCAAGGTCAGAGGACGAAGATTGTTCTCACTAATTTTACAGCTGTGTACCTCTTGTAGAAGATTCCTAGCTTCCTTCCGCTTCTTATAATTTCCTGAATTTGAGATTCCTTTTACATCAAGTTGAAGAGTAAGCTTTTTTTTCCTCCTCTCCTCGTAGTTGAATTTTGTGTTTCTTGTTGTTTCGTTGATTCTCCCTGCATTTTCTGGATCTTCATTTTTGTTTAATAGAAAGAGCTGACGTTAGATCTGTATTTGAATAGTTTATACTCTCTACATCGTTGACTGCTATAATTGATTCAACTCCTGTTCGGTATGCTGATTATATGATTTTAACTTACAAGGTTCTTTTTATTTTTGAATCTTTTTGTATACTTGGTTTGAATTAGGTTCATGGACCAGTGAAGGAGTTTCATTCTGACTTAATTCAAGGACCGAGGAACACAGTGCATTGATGATATTTTGCATTGGAACTGATTTGAGAATAAGTGTAGTTGTTTTTCAATGGGACATGAACTTAAATCTTGGTTTCAGTTAGATGCCAGGTAATTGATAATGCTTATAGGAATTATGTTTGTAATCCAGTATCTCGAGGTTCCATACCGGAATGTGTTGTCAACATCGTTTCCTTCTAGTAAGGTTTCAGTTGAGGGACAAAGTAGTTTCTTAGCTGGTGCTCTGCCTTTTGCCGAGTCAGAGGTGACGAAACATAATGTCACTCATTCAATCGGTTTGGACTATAAGGGAACATATGCCGATAATGAGAAAGCTCAGGATAATGAGATCTATGAAGAAAGGGACACAGTTGAATAATGATGCTATATCAGAAACCAATGTGGGCTTGAAAATCTCTTCTACATTCGGGCATGGTTGTCCAAACAAGTCTTCAACTAAGGAATTGGTAGAATTAAATAAGAATTCTTCAGTTGATTGAGCTAAAAGTTCCAAAAATAAGACCTATGAAGGAAAGGACAAAGATCAGAGTAATGATTTTAGATCAGAAGTAGGATTGAAAAGTTCTATATTAGATAACCACAGGGAGTCTTCATCTGAGGAATTTGAAGACTATCTTGAAGGTTACAATAATAAGACAGTCGCAGAGGAGGCTAGCAAAGCTGAAGAAAGGGACACAAATTCACCCATGAAAAATACCTTAGAGAAAGATGTTGAGGCAAGTATTAGGAACCCTGTTGTGCAAGTCAATTCCGGTATATCTTCAGTGGAGCAACACGTGAATAATTCCACCTCATTGGGTGGTGAGTATAATCCCCCCAAAACGCCCAAGATGAAGAGAAAGCCCGAGATGCCATCTGCACTAACCACGATAGCTGATACGAACAATTTAAGTCGTGTTTCATGGTATATGAAATCTTGAGGGAAAGCATAGTATAGATGGAGAGATTATACCCAAGAAATCTTGATGGAAAGCATAGTGTAGGGAAAAGATTCCGAGCTTTTTTCAATGGTATATGAAACTTGAATTAGTTTAAGTTACTTCTACCCAAGAGCATAATTAATAAACAAATTACATCATAAATTACAGGAGCTATGAATTGATGGAAAGCATTCTCAAAGTATACGTCTACAAGGAAGGAAAAAGACCTATATTTCATACCCCGGTTCTCAAGGGTATTTACGCCTCTGAAGGATGGTTCATGAAGCAACTGGTCACCTATAAAAAATTTGTTACCAAAAAACCAAGAGAAGCCCAACTGTTTTACTTACCTTTTAGTTCTAGAATGTTAGAAGAAGCACTATATGTCCCTGATTCTCACAGTGAAGAGAACCTTATAGAGTATTTGAAGAAGTATGTGGACATGATTGCAGCAAAATAACCTTTCTGGAATAGAACTGAAGGAGCTGATCATTTTCTGGTTGCTTGCCATGACTGGGTATGCATTTTCATGCTTTCTTGGCTTTTACTTTTTCTTTTTCCTCGCATTTGGAACCACTTAAGCTCTTCTACAAGTTACAATTGGCATTTATGAGTTCTTGTTTCGATTTTCGTTTTCTTCTAAGTTTAAACTATCGGGCAAGTCCCTCTAGTTATAGGTTTAGGAGTAAGTTAATCATTTATTCTTCAACATACACTATCTTCTAATAAACATTACTTTCTCAGGCAGCATCTGAAACAAAGGAATACATGGCCAACTGCATAAGGGCCCTTTGTAATTCCGACCTCAGAGAAGGTTATATTTTTGGGAAGGATGCATCTCTTCCCGAGACCATCATTTAGAATCCTCAGAAACCTCTAAGAGCCCTTGGCGGCAAGCCTCCATCTAAGAGATCATCTTAGCTTTTTTTGCGGGAGGCATGCATGGTTATTTAAGGCCAATTCTATTACAACACTGGGGAAACAACAAAGATCCCGACATGAAAATCTTCGGCCAAATGCCCAACCGTAAGGGTAAAATGAACTACGTCCAACACATGAAGAGCAGCAAGTACTGCATTTGTCCCAGAGGTTACGAGGTCAACAGCCCACGAGTGGTGGAGGCCATTTTCATGAATGTGTCCCGGTGATCATATCTGACAATTTCGTTCCTCCTTTTTTCGACGTCTTGAATTGGGAACCATTCGCCATCTTCGGTTCGGAGAAGGATGTTCCGAATCTGAAGAAGATCCTCTTGTCGATCTCGGATGAGAGATATCTGCAGATGCAGCTGTGTGTCAAAAAGGTACAACAACATTTTCTTTGGCATCCTAGACCAGAGAAGTATGACATTTCATATGATTAGTTTAGTTTTCTTTAATTTGTTTCTTCTTGGTGCAGCTCTGGCTTTGCACCTTTGTTTTCCTTTTCTACTTTTTCATGAATAAAATTTGCTTATGGCTTACGAAGAACAAGGTTTGTGCTTGGTATCCTATATATATATATATATCTTTAAATTTATAAATTTTAATAATCAAACTATACCAAATTAAAGTTCATGAATTAAATTATAACTTTCAACTTAGTTCAGGGTCTGAATCAGAATTAGTCCTAAATAAAAAAGAAAGAAGTTAACGGTTAAACGGTAATAACCAGCTAAAGTTCCAACCTTTTTCTTCATGTGTACCTAATTTAACGTCCCAAAAGCTATTAAACTGATTCTTCAATGGGTACATCAAGCAAGAAGAAGATAATAAAGATATTATTAATTCGATCAAGTTAGCAAATTTGCAAAGAATTTCAATCTAAAAGATCCAATTTTTCCAGATATGACCACAGAGACCAAATCCAATTTAGTTAAGGTGAATAGCCTAGTGATCAAGATGGCTCTTCAAAGGGAAAGTTTGATGCTGATATGAACAAGAAGAAACTTGAAAGGTCCAGCAAACAACAGCATGTTGATGCAAAGCAAAAATCTTTATCAACTGTCACAACAAAAACAGAGGTACCCATCTCTAAATTTTCCTCCACGAACTAAAATTTTCAATAGATTTGTTGGTTTTTTATCGATTGTTTCTCGATTTGATGCTTTGGGTTTCGTTTATTTTTCAGTGAATTGTTAGGTTCTAAGTTTGGTTAGCTTATATGCAGTATATGTAATGATGGTTGATTGATCCTGATATGGGATGTTCTATAATTTTGGTCAATTTAATTAATTTTGTGATCAATTGGGAGATTTGGCAGTCTGTATGCATTTGTCTATTTTCTCCCAAAATGTATGAATTGAATTCGATTTCGAAGTCAAAATCGAAAACAAGTTCGAGTTCATCAAAAACCAGTACAACCACAAAAACTAAAGTTAGAGAGAAGAATGTTTATACTTTGCCTGGCCAGAAACATGATCCTCCTGAAGAGGTTGTCTTCATATTGCCTCAGATCTCTTCATTTGCACATAAACATGTCTCTAGTAATTGATTTTGCTCAATGTTTTTCCCTTTCGGATAGCGGGAGTCGTTACGAATATTCTACGAGTCTTTGTCGAAACAGATACCAACAAGTGAAATGGCAGAATTTTGGTGAGGTTTCCTTCTTCCAATAATGCTTCTTGCCTATTGTTTCTCAGACCATGGAGATCAACTAGTTTTCTATGCAGCATCGATTCGATGTTATGTATGTACAATGTTGGTGTTCAATTATAAATGGAATCCTTGAACCAGTTGCATGTTGTTCAGTTAAATCCTCAGTGAAAGCTTCATTGGTTTGATGCGAATGAAGACCACTAATTATCTCCATATAGTGAACTTCACACCTATTATACCGGTTTTAACGTCCGTGTCGAAAGGCGGTTACGAGTCTCCGGGCGTCAAGCCAATATCAGTAAAAGAGGGAAGATTCTTTCTTCTGTGCTGATCGATAATAGGCCAATTACTTCTTTGTCTAACAAGAGTGCTTCTCTGGTCTGAAGCTGCATACTTAAGATATATATGCATTCGATTTCTATTTTCGTACTTCGCTTTTCACTCTGATGCCATCAGTGGCTCGTTTAAAGTTTAATCTCTGATGTAAGAAAGATTCAGTTGATTGTCACCATCATGTCTTTCGTTTTTCATTCGTAAAATACTTGTGTAAAGGAGATTCGACAGTAACACTGTTCGATTGCAGGATGATTGAACATGGCTTGTTCACTGAAAAAGCCAGAAAATCATACGAAAAGAAGCAGAGAAGGCAGAAGCAACTTCGAACTGGCACTCCGATTAAACCTTCAAAACCTAGCAGTAAACCCCTGAGTTCACAGAAGCAGCAGCTGGCTCGAAAGAACGGAGATGTAAAAGCAAAGAAAAGAATCAACAATGATATTGATGATGACGATGACTTCATTTTAAGTCACAAGAGAAGGAAAGGATAAGAGTGCTTTGTGGTGGCTTTTCTATATGCATGCATGTATGCATAAACAAGTTTAGCCATTTCTTTTTTTATCCTCTCTTTGATATATAAACCCATCTGTACACACTCAAAAGGTCATTAACATATAGTATGATGATTGTTATTGATTAACTGAGGCCTAGTTTCTAGGATGACGACGATGTTAGCTTAAGCAATTGCAGTGGACATAGGATTAGAATGACTAATAATACATTGGAAACGATTAACAATATCTTTAATATAGAACCGAAAACCAGATTAGATTGAACTTTGAAAAATAGCATAAACTGCAGAAAACTATTGGTGTAAGGTTCCTATTTCATGCCTTTCTGGCATGTTTGTTGAGGATAATTGTCTTGCCTTAAATTCACACAGTAGTGGATAGCAGTTGCGTTTATGAAAAAAGAAGAAAACTCGATGACCATCGCAATTCGCAACGGCATCATGAAGGTCGATGATAGAAGCATCAACCTTAATGGCACAATGACAGGCGAGACAGAGCAGTTGAGCTTCACACACACACAAACGCACGTAAATATTGATCAGGTCTCATGCATGCCTTATGTATGGGCTGCATTGGTCTGCATGCACATAAGCAGCATGTGAATTAACTGATTTTATTTTAGATATTAAGATTACCAAAGACATGTATGTATGTATGCATGCGTGTGTGTGTGTGTGTATATAGCTGATCTCGGATATTCAGGTCCCTCTTAGTACGTCTAGAATTAATGCAGAGAACAACCTAGTTATAACTTGAATCCTCTGTGTATAGGCAATGCATGTGACAAATGACCGGGGAAGAAGCTGCACGGTTCATATTGAGGCATTGCTTCTTCATCACTCAATTGAAGTAAAGCTTCTGTTTACTGGGTGAAAGCCGGATCGGCAATCGAATGACTACTTCCCTTGACAGAACGGCAAATGACTAGCCCCCTCCCTACTCATCGTAAAACTATCATGCGTATGCGAAGAGTCTATAAATAGGCTTCATGCGATACCGTCACCCCTAAGAGGCTAAGACACTTAGACCTACTGTTACTCTACTTCACCCCAACTTCGTCCAACATTCCGATCACAACGCTTTCGACCACCGCACGAACCCCCATCAAGATCCAAGACATCAACAGGTATGAAAATGAAGTCTGATATAAAGAGTAAACATCATTTATTGACTATGCCAGGTTCTCCCAGATTTGACGCTCCGCCTGGTTGATTGGCTTTCAGTCCCAAATGAACATTGGCAATTACATATCAAAGATAAATCAGTCAAATGCATGAAGCATCACAGTAATGGAAGAAATGGTTAAAAAAAAAACAAGTCATGGGACAGCTAGGACTGCGGACAACACAACTTTTTGTCGTTTATGTTGATTTATGACCCCCAAATATTTAATGGGAAAGCTGCACAGGCGTTTGCTGTTATTTGATCTTTCTTTTCATCATTCACTGCTCTTTAAAAGTTGCTGCAACTATGTATCAATTTTCATCTCACCCACCTCTTTAAACTTTCAATTCCATGCCACCACAAGAAGAAGAAAGAGTACTAATTTGGGAAAACAGTAACCCATTATATTAAAGTTTGTAGGTTTGGAAGTTTGGTTAAATTACTTATAGGGTCCCTGTACTGTAACCTGAAAAGCAAATTAACCCCCACCTAGTATTATGCTCTGACTCTCAAATTGGTATCAATCATTCCAAACTCTGTCATTGTTAATCAACAGAATCATTTAGCGTACAAAACATGACAAGATTATTAATTGTCACCATTAATTGAGTTTTAACCTTTTCACAAGACATAAGAACTGTTCGATGTACGTAGAAACAAGATGATTAAATGGGCTATAGAAATGGTCGCAGGGTGCTGTCGTTTCTCTGGTAATTAAGGTTTTTGCAAAGCTCTTTCAGAGCTGTCTGAATCCGTAATATCCTTCGTGGATCCCCACAAAAACTGGGTTTTCTCTAGCCGTTCTGTACTGCAAAAACTCAAACCTTATTACCAAAAGATCAATGTCTACCGTACGAGTATGTTGGGTTTTTCTTGTTGGTTCATTAATGAAATCTCTACGTACATATAGCAGTTTCTGATGGGGGGAAAATGCTCTCAAACTTGGCCTTTTATTACAGTGGAAAACGTTAAAATGAATGCGCGGTCACCTGCACATTTGATAGGTTATCGTCCTTGAAATTGGGCGCTTTCTGTTTCGGGGTTATTTCCCTCGGGAGTCCCAACATTATAGATCAAATTCTAAATTTGTCCCTTCATAATGTTTTAATTGATTCCATAAACTCGAGTATAGTTCTAATCAGGTCCTACCACCAGCCATTAGTTTTGACATTAGATGCTAGCTTGAGTTAATTGCATCGGGTGACCTCTTTCAATTTTGGGTTAATATTATCAAACATCCCCAAACTATGAAGCAAATTCTAAATTGGTCCTAAACTTTCATACAACTAACTTGAATCCTTAAACTAAAGTATAGTTCAAATCAAGTTCTTTCAATATAATAGTTATCTTTGACATTAAACACTAGCTTGAATATTACATGTTTGAAAGACTGTTATTTATTCATACATATTCGAAAAAGGAATCTCGCCAGACATAGGTTGACGAACGAATCTAATTGAAATGATATTTTAGTTTGAGAACTTAATAAGGAAATTTTAAAATTTAGGACCAATTTGAGTCATTGGTATTTTTTGGTCATTTCAAAAATCTAATTAAAGGGTTAATTGCAATAGCATCCCCAAACTCTATATGAAGTCCTAAACTAGTCCTAATATTAAAAAACTTCAATGACTAGTTTACTCCATTAGTTTTTTTCCCTCTTAGTTTAGCCATCAAATATTTTCTCTGTATTGAACTTTTGTAGGTCACAATTTATTGACGTCGGTACATCTCCCTTAGAGTCTAATTCTTCGATGTACATCTCTACTATATTAAGATTTTTTCTTTGCATTTTTCATAGATTTCCTTCGAACCAGGTCACTCTTCTTTGTGACGACGACAAATATCTTCAAATTCACTTTTGTAACATATGTGGCCCTTATAACGAGAGTAATTCGATTGTTCATTCTCGTCTCTTGCTTTAACGATTTTGAACGATATAACATCATCGAATCTTATAGTCTCCTCTTTTAACGATGATAGAGAAACTATTTTTCTTTAAATAATTTCTCATCAAATATGACCATCACAAAGTTTATTCATATATCTCTATGTATATATTATCAATCCCTTAAGTAAGGTCAAATGTTCGAATCTTGACAATTACGAATGGAGTAAATTGGGTTAGGAGAGTCAACCTTATCTATGTAGTACCCGATCTGGATTAATCGTTCAATAGATCAGATACTGATAGTTATAAAAAAAACATACAAAAGCTTGTAATTTGATGCAATATTATAGACTAACAAACAATAAAATGAGAAGACCAAACTTTGGGTATATTAATTGTAATGTGTAAATGTTGGGTGCCTCGTTTTCCCATTGGTGCTCGCAACAGCTGGCCCTAGGCCATTGCTATATGCATTTCACACGTATATTCATCCAGTACTTTCTCTATATTACTTATATACATACATACAAAGAGAAACAGTAGCAAATTATTATTTGTTAATATACGTTGAATTTAAATAAAGTTTAAATTTTTTACATAATAATTAAATTCTTTTACTATTTCAATCTAGAAAATAACCTAATGGATAATATCATGATAATTTCTGTAAAAAAAAAACTCGCTTATTGTTTGTATATTTATTAAATTTATATTTTTTTATTTGTCTGGAGTGATTACAAGATAGTATCTATTCAGAATCTTTTAAGTCTATTAACAATGTACACATAACCTATAGACGCAACTGCTCGAATCAAGATCTTTTAAGGGACCTTTTACCATTAAGATCATTCGATGAATATAATTATTTTTCTTTTTGAAGTTTGTATGATTATCTGAGTGAATTAGTAATGAGTTTTAACTAATCCACATCAACAATTACTTTATTATTGTTATTTTTTTTGTCTAGAGGAATATAATAAATTATCTATTTGAAAAGCACTCAATTATTGGATATTAAACGTTTATATATTTATACAAATATAATTTTCGAATTTGATATCTCAAAAGATAATAACAATCTTTTAACGATCGAGGTCTCTTAGTTCATACATTGTTACGATGATATCTAATTCAATCTTGGAACAGATGTAATTCTATTACTAGAAGGATAGGCTAAGTCGAGGTAGTTGAATCGTACGAAAATGTTGTCTCTCTTAAAGCAGAATCTAGAGATTTTGAGGAGTATGATGTTAAGCTTGTTAGCGGTGTGAGCTGGTTCCATGGCAGGCAAAATCAACGAGAGAATGTGTTGAATTTTTTTTTCACGAGATAGTGTCCTCGCCAGATTAATTGCTCAGATAGGGTGATCTCTACAGTCCCACGTCCTTGGGGGTAGGTCGCCATGCACGCCCAGCGACCTACCAGGTCGCCATGCACGCCCCAACACGCTGGGCATCCGAGACCATCCGACCGAGGCCATCCGACCGAGGCCATCCGAACGAGCTATGCGAGGGCATCCGAGGGCAACCGAGCGAGCTATGCGAGGGAATCCGAGGGCAACCGAGCGAGGGTAGGTCGCCATGCATTCCGGGCGACCTACCCTCGCTCGGTTGCTCGGATTCCCTCGCATAGCTCGCTCGGATGCCCTCGCATAGCTCGCTCGGATGCCCTCGCATAGCTCGTTCGGATGGCCTCGGATGCTCTCGGATGGCCTCGGATGCTTTCGGATGGCCTCGGTCGAATGGTCTCGGATGCCCAGCGTGTTGGGACGTGCATGGCGACCTTTGGGGGCTGCATGGATTGCATGGCGACCTACCTAGGTCGCTGGGCGTGCATGGCGACCTGGTAGGTCGTTGGGCGTGCATGGTGACCTATATGGGGACTGTAGAGATCACCCCATCTGAGCAATTAATCTGGCGAGGAC